CTGCTATCAGAATCAGATTCTGAATCGAAACGACAAAGGAAACGTTACCAAAGAAAGGGAGAAGCTTACACAAGGCCTGACCAAGCTGACCACCGATAAGAAACGAGTTGGCGTGCAAGAGTGACAATTTAAAAGGTATCGAAAATACTGGAAACAACAAATCAGATGAGGCCATGTTTGCGATAAAATAATTTATCGGTTTTTTTAAGTTCGGCGTTTTACAAACGGTGATAACAATGAGAGAATTTGCGACCAGTGAAACGATGATGATCAGACAGTAGGTAACGGTTCCTCCGATTTTCAACGCAGAAAAATTTAAGCAGCTCCAAGATCCGCTGGATCCGTTCGCCGTTGAATTCATGCTTAGCTCAGCGACGAATCTATGGAATTGTACCTATACAGTCAAGAAACTTTGAATTACTACTCTGTATATTGGGTATGCTGTTTGAGTCAGAACGTTTATTGACAATTGTAAGCCCCCTGCGAAGTCACAGCACAACGGTCCTCTGAGGCCTTCAAAAATTGTCTTTGTACTAATTATAATCTTCCGGCATTATCTGCCAAAAGACTTTTTGACGGAACACTGAGGTATTATATTAGTATGTTATAAACCAATCAGAACACCTCATCTAGGTCAGTTGGTTGTATTAAGAAATCGATTGAGCAGATGATTAAACAACAAAAAATGATATCTTTGTTAATACCATCATCAGAGTCGTTTAAAAGATGGCAGTCACTGTCATTTATGTAACAACCTAATAATTAGATATCATTGATAGACTTTTGAAAATTATTTTCAAAAGTAATATGCTTTCGGCGAAAATGTAAAGAGAGCTTATGAATAGCGCGGAATATCCTGTCTATCAATTGCTACCGCCTAGCTAGGCCGTCTAGAGATCCTTATCCGCGCAGGTTCAAATCTCAACTTCAATGTCAGAATCCTAGTTCAGGGTCAATGTAATGTCACCTCTAATCAATTCGAACTTTTAAATGGAACTTTGAAACACTGAACAAGATGCAATGCTCAAAGTCTTGTTAATCAAGCAGGCAACTGAATAATTTGAATGATTTTGCTAATTTCTAATAATTTTTGAAATAATTTTTATGGGGGCGTCTACAAGACAAAGGATGTTTATTAGCGAGGGCGTCTAACGCAAACATAATATCATAGAGCGGCGCTTACTAAATGAGCCAAGAGGCGTTTGTTTGAACAAAATTTAAACAATAACAGGGAGAAAGGTACTAAAATTAAGGTTTCAAAATCATGTCATTTTATAGTCGATCTACAGAAGGTGTTAATCGAAAATAATTGGCTAGACTTTTGCATAAATTAACTATGGACAGATCGGGTCAATTTCCTTTCATATGGAACAGATGAAAAATTTTTAGGGGATAAAAATACGCCTATATCTACCGTTTTAATACTAAAATACGTTTAACAATGCTATGTTTAAGTGGTTTTGAACTATATTCTCGTTGGGTGCCCTGTTTTAAGATCGATTATCGAGGAAGCGTAACTCTTCAAGAGCTGTTAGTGTATTTTAATGTGTTCAAAACGCCCGTTTCAAAACGTATGTTCAGGGAAGTTGTGTAAAATAAATACTAAAAATACAACGTCAAGAAGTAGAGTAACTAAGCATCCATTAATGTGGCTCTTAGCTTTTTTAGCCCCGGTCACGAGGAAATTTATTTGCTGCTGAGGAACAGTGATCACGCTCTTGCGATCCAGAGCCCGGGAAAGTTTTTCATCTATGAACACTATGATTTGTCACCACTTGTAGTTCTGTCTTTTCTCTGTAAACTGTTTGAAGCAGCTCTAAAACTGTTGAAAATATAGTTGAAAATACGTGCTTAATGCTAATTTTACTGTTAAACTCGAGCGCAGCTGCCTTCAAGCAATTAAGCCCAGGCTTAGCAGATAAATATGAGGTAAAAGTGCATATTCATCAAGTGTGCATAAAACATGCAGTTTTTATAACATTTGCTTTTCGATCGAGCAATTAATGGGCAATTATTAAACCAAGAGTCTAGACTAAACTATAATGGGTTCTTCTTCAACAAAAACACAACACTTTATGTTACTTCTTTTACCGCCTTTGATTTTTTTTACAAACTTCTGTACTTGCTGGCTCCAATAATATTGCTCGATAACGTTGTGGCACTTCACAAGAAACCCCACTCCCCCGCTTAACTCATATCAATACCTGAGAATTCTTTTGTGATTGGCTATAGGAGAGGTTTATTAGCATGTATGGAACCTTCGAATCATTTACTTGGTGAAAACGATTTCCTATTTTAAATATCACCTTAAAGGGAGTTAAGTTTGGGTTTTCCAGTCTAACTAAGAATTAATAGGTTCTTCTTCAACAAAAATAGAAGGCTTGTTACTTCTTTTACTCCCTTTGATGTTTGCGAACCTTCCGTCGGTACTACAATTATATGTGGCACTTTACAAAAAACCCCACTCCCCCGCTTAACTCATATCAATACCTGAGAAGTCTTTCGCGATTGGCTAGGAGCAGCTTATTAGCATATATGGAACGTTCGAATCATTTACCTGGTGAAAACGATTTCCTGTTTTAAATATCACTTTAGAGGGGTTTAAGGCTGGGTTGTCCTGTCAATAGAAAATAAGGAGAGCAAACCGAGAGAATAAAGTATTGGCTTCTAAACAGAATTTAAACAATGAGAGCGAGGAAGGTACTAAAATAACAGTTTGAAAATCATGTCAGATCAATTACTCGATCTACCGAACCGAGGTCTTAGGCTTTTTTTATTGGCTAAACTTTGCAATAAATTATTTATGAATGTGTGATTACAAATTAAAAATGCAATACGTGCTGAGCAGCAGAAGTTACAGCAATAGACAGACAGTTAAGAGTTACTAGGAGGTATTTCATACCATTATTATTATTCGAATTTTTATCGTTAACATTTCCCTTGAATTTTCAGTTAATAAATTTTTCCCTTGCATGAACGAATACTTTTGTACTTCTCCTGCCCACGCCCCTATAACGTTTCTAACGGTCCGCAGCCGAGTTTTATCCCAAACTCTTACAATACGTCCTCTATGCTGTCATTTCTCGCACTCATTAAAACCTTCTCAGAGTGCTGGAGTACAGTGATAGTCATGATATATGATATATTCGCGAGCCAAAAACACATTTTTGCGATCTACGCCCGTACAAAAGAACATTTTATGAGTCTTTTAAGAGCTTTTTTGGCAATCAATTACTGCTAAAAGTGAAAAAGAAAATCGGGTTGATAGCACAGTACGCGTTAGACATATACATGGTGACATCAAAGTATAGCCAAAAACTGCACGAGAAATGCATAGGCCTGTCATGTAGCTACGGTGAGACTGAAACAATTCTCAGAAAAGATAATCGAAAATACGTGCTTAACACCATTTTTAAACAGGTGTGTGAAATGTATCTTTAGCAATAAGATCATAAAGTACACAATTTGGCAGGTAAACACAGGAAGCAGGGTAGAAGCTGCCTGCAAGCAATTAACAGGCTTAACAGGAAAATATGAGGCAAAAATAAATGCCTTCTATCATGTGTGCATGAAGCAGCCAGTTTTTATATCATTTACTTCTCGATCGAAATAAAAACGGGAAATTCTAAAAGTAGGAGTCTGCTGTCGGCAAACGGAAACTAACAGGTTCTTACTCAACAAATAGACGAGGCTTGTTCCTTCTTTGACTGCTTTTAATTGTTACGAATTGTTGGTTACAATTTTATCGCTCTATAACGTGTGGAAATCATTTTTATAATGACCAGAGTGACTCAAACGCTTTAAAACTCATATCAATGCTTGAGTAAGTCTTGTAATTGGCTAGGAGAAACTCATTAACATTGAACCTTCGAGTTATTTACTTTGTCAAATCGATTTTCTGTCTTAAATTTCACTTTCAAGCTTGGGTTGTCCAGTCAATATAAAACCAAGGAAAGCAAAGACAGAGAACCAAAAATTGGTTTCTAAACAAAACTTGAACAATATCATACAGAAACAACCGAAGAGCATCCCCTTTTGTTTAGCCCGCGCATATGAAATCGGACGAAGGACTTTTGGAAGTCTATAACCTCTGTTGCTTGCATTTTCATGACTTAACAGTGTATGTAAATACCAGGATTGTATTTTTTGTGAAGTTATTATTATTATTATCATTAGTGTAGAGCTGTTAGTTTATTTTAATGTGTTGAAAACGCCCATTTGAAAACGTCTGTTGAATTTGCGTCAAATAGATAACAAAAATACAACGCCAGGCCAAGATCATTTTTAATGTGGCTCTTAGCGCCACGTGGAAGTGTAAAAGAGTAATCAGTGAGTCTTGTGGTCAAGAGCGCAGGAAATTTTCTTATCTACGAACGATAACATTTTATCAGTATTGTAGTTTTGTCTCTTCTTGGTAAATCGTTTGAAAGAGTTTCAAGACTGGATCGCCCGCCATTGTCTGTCGCCTTCTGTACAACGCAGTATATGCATCGAGGCCATCGGTTAAGTTTGAAACTTTAATTTTTGCCCCCTTGCGAGGCCTCAGCACAATAATTGTTATTACGACCGACGTGGCTTAAACTTCCTGTTAAACTTTTTGGTTCATGTATTTTTTTTGCAATAAGGCGAACGGGGAACGTGCCACAAAAACATGCGGTTTTTTTTCTTTGCTCAATTTCTTTTGACGACGTAAACATTACTGTCAAACCTTGGGGTGGCGCTAAAATTTCAACAGATGTTTATAATTGCCCGTTTTAGTCCTTTCTTTCACTTAGCGGTTCTGTAGTAATTAAGAGTTGTTAGTTGTACAGTTGTACTTCACCTGCTTACGGCCCCAATAACGTTTCTAATGGTCCGTCCCTGAGTCTTATTTACCGCCCAACCTTTAATAATACGTGGCCTATGCTGTCATATTTCGCAGTCATGCCAGACTTAATCCTCAGTTAAGTAAGCCAACGGCAGTCGTGGCGATTTTTTATTCGCGAGTGTTCCACCTACCTCTAAATCTTAACATATTCAGTCAAAAGCACATTTTTGCGACTTACGCCTGTACAAGAGAACATTTCATAAGTCTGCTAAGACCTTTTCGATAATTACTACTAAAAATACATTGACAGTCATGACGCCTGTACAAAAGAACATTTTATGAGTCTTTTAAGAGCTTTTCGGTAATTAATGCTAAATATGAAACAGATGATCGGGTTGATAACACAGTACATGTGACTGATATAAACGGTGACATCGAAGTATAACCGAAAACTACACGAGAAATTCGTGAGACTGTCCTGATATTCTATGATTAAAATGTTGATAGAGTAAGGTGACCAGCAAAACACAAACACTGTTACGATAGCAATGGACATTTGAAGCACGTTTCGGTTTCTTCTGTCCCGCTGTTGCTGAGCGTTGGCGGACTGCTCACCTGGATGCGCCTGCGTCTTGAGCTTGATAACAATGATGGAATAAAGAATGACTAGCAACAGCACAGGTATGTATGTAAACAGACTGTAGGAAGCTAGCACGAAACTGGCAAAGGATGATGACTCTCCGAATACTTTTTTCCATTTCATTACACACCAGGTTTCCTCTGGGGATTCATCGAGCTCTATGGTGAACAAGTATGGCGAATTGACAGCTACGGCAACTATCCATGTAGCGAGAATGAAGAAGGGACACAGCTTGGATCTGATGAGTGGGGAACGGAGAGGAAATACCACGGCTCCAAATCGATCCACCGCTATTAGAATCAGATTCAGAATTGACACGACAAAGGGAACGCTACCAAAGAAAGGGACAAGCTTACACAAGGCCTGACCAAGCTGACCACCGACAAGAAACGAGCCGTTGATGTACAAGACTGACAGGTTAAATGGCATCCAGAATATTGAATACAGCAAATCAGATGAGGCCATGTTTGCGATGAAATAATTTATCGGCTTTCTTAAGTTAGGCGTTTTATAAACGATCATTACAATGAGAGAATTTGCGACCAGTGAAACGATAAAGATAAGACAGAAGGTAACGGTTTCTCCGACTTTTGACGCAGTGGAATTTAACTGAGGGAAGCAGCTCCAAGACTCGCTGGATCCGTTCGCCATTGAGTTCACACTTAGCTTTGCGACGTATCTAAGGAATTGTACGTATGCAGTCAAGTAGCTTTGAATTACTGCTCCGCATATTGCGTATCCCGTTTGATTCAGAACTTTTATTGGCAATTGTAAGTCCCCTGCGAAGCCTCAGCACAGCTGCTTAAAGTGAGTTTGTATAATGGTGTCAGTTATCAACTGACCTTAAGCCAACCGGAGTATTAAGGTATCAGCCACCCTTAAAATTGCCATTTTTCCATATTTGAGGTTTCAACGTTTTCAAGTAGATATGCTTGAGAGCTTTCTTTTAAAAAAAAATCAGAAGAAAATATTTTTTCTGTCGAAAGATATCGGGGGTAATTTTGCCAGAATTACTATTTTGCGAAATGGCGTTTTTTCACCTTTATTTAGCAAATATGTCCTTTTCGTCTGAAACAAATTGTGTCCGCCAATAAAATGATTAATATTTCGAAGAGTCTGGTGACCTATCATGTTATTGACCGTGCTAGAACTAATTTCGCAAAGTAGTAATTTTGCCAGAATTACTATTTTGCGAAATGGCGTTTTTTCACCTTTATTTAGCAAATATGTCCTTTTCGACTGAAACAAATTGTGTCCACCAATAAAATGATTAATATTTCGAAGAGCCTGGTGACCTCTCATTTTATTGACCGTTCTAGAACTCATTTCGCAAAGTAGTAATTTTGCCAGAATTACTATTTTGCGAAATGGCGTTTTTCACCTTTTTTCCCCCTATATTTAGCAAATATGTCCTTCTCGTACGAAAAAAATTGTATCCACCAATAAATTGATTAATATTTTAAAGAGTCTGGGCACCTTTCATTTTATTGGCCGTACTAGAACTCCTTTTGCAAAGCAGTAATTTTGCCAGAATTACTATTTTGCGAAATGGCGTTTTTTCACCTTTATTTAGCAAATATGTTCTTCTCGACCGTAACAAATTGTATCCACCAATAAAATGATTAATATTTCAAAGAGTCTGGGCACCTCTCATGTTTTTTCGCAAAGTGGTAATTTTGCCAGAATTTAATATTTTGCGAAATGAGCTGTTTGTCGTCCTTTAAATTTGTTTTCTTGCCATATAGATAAGTGTAAACATAAAACTACAGATCAATTCCTGAAGACTCTGGAAACTTCTCATTTTATTTTTAGAACTCATTATTAAGTGCACTCAGCAAAATCCACCAATCACAGAAGTTATCCCAATAACCATAGCAACAACCACATACCCTAGTAAACTGGGGATACTCCAAAATGGACGAATTTGTGATATTAGACAGTGTCTCTCAGAGACAAATTGGGGAAAGTTTCCCTAATTTTGGATAATTGGTATTAAAAGCTCTTTGACCAAAAAACTGAATGCATTTAGTTTCTCGGAAATTGCAATTGTTACGATTGATTGGTACCAGGTCTTTGTGTCGTCCATTTCGGTAATCACTCGTATGATTACAGACCGAGTTGGACTCTACTCAGTCCTATTACCGTTATTAATAAGTCGTATTTAAAAGTCATTTCAAAATGTTGTAATTTTGCAAGAAATTATTACTACTTTGCGAAGCTGGCAATTTTCACCTTTCCCGAAACAAGGCATTCGTTTTCGTATGATCATAAATTTATCAAAAATAAAACAATGTACATTTGTGCATCTATACTATAACCCCAAACCAAATTAATGCTAACGACTTACTGAAATTTACAAAGTTTATATTATTTAAGTCCTTCCATTAATAACAAATATATCACATTATCAAAAAGTATCAAAAGAAATTTCTGATTTGTTAAAGATTAAAATAATGGTTCTCAATTCCCCGTTCTCAGCAATTTGATTAAAGTATTCCAAAAAGTTAACCAAACTCAACTAACTAATTTTGGATGTATTATGTGATACGTATAGTGGGATGTTATTTTTATCAAACCAGTTACTTTTTTGGGATAGATTATTCCCTTGATCCTATCACCAGAATTTACTATTGTGATAATCATCTTATTATGCGCGCCATTTTCGTTTACGGCACGGTACTGAAATAAATCATGAAAAGAAAATAAATAACCTGGGAAATACAAATATGCGTGCCTCACCTCACCACCAAATATCACCAGCTAATATGAAACTCATTTTTGTTGCTGTTGTTGTTGTGAAAATTTACTGGGAATAAGGAACAGGGTGTAACGAGGAGCCTACGAAGCTTTATAGCGTCCATCTCGTAATCGTTAATAGGCCCAATGTCATTGCAAGAGGCGAATGGTTACAGGACAAATGTTGTGGATCAGACATGCAAAGAAAGCTCACTACCACGATCAGAAAGCAGTCAGGGGCGTAGCCAACTTTTCGACTAGTTGTAGGCCTGGCTGACTTTTATTTGACATACATATCCTGAAAATTGCACGTACTGCTAGTACGCACCCACCTCACCAACAGACTTAAGTTTGTTAGCTCACTCCAATAACGCATAATTTATTACAAGCGGTAGAATGATCAAACCAAAAAGTTTTAGGCTTGGGCCTACAGATCTCAGTATGGGTTGGCTATGCCCCTGACAATTTCGTTAAGAATGAGACTTCAGAGGCGCGGTAACTGAAAAAATGTTGCACAATAACATCAAGCTGTACCAGATGGACACTCGCAATTGGTTTTTCTATCGTTCATAGGCGGCATCATATTAGTAGCAATCAGGCCTTTTGAGATCTTACTCTTCCTTTAGTTGAGTTAGCTTTGTGTATTATCCTCTTCTAATCTAAACTTTAGCATTGCATATAGAAGATCCTTGTGACTCTCTTTCAAGCGCCCCTGGACATTGGTAGAGACAATTACCAAACCTCTCCAGAAATAAGGGTGCCTTAGAAGAATACACTCTTTATCTACGCAGTAAAACCTCTTTGCCTTCTTTTTATGAGTTGGTACCATTTCAACATTCCCTTGATCATCTTTTTTTGGGTAGCAGTAACGCTCCTCGTGAAGTATGGCAATGTCGTAGGGTGCTATCTGCACCAGCTTGGGGAACTCATTTGTGCAACCGATACATTTTGTTGCGTTCGCGTAGTCGTGAATGAATACTACATAGAAGGGCTCGTCATTTTGGTAATATTTGGTGTACCTCATTGGTTTTGGTGCCATCATGTCGGAATAGTCTTCCTCTAACAGGACTGGTTCCTGGCTCACATTGTTTTTCCCTCTTCTTGGTTTCTTTTGTTGATTTGGCTTTCCTCCAAGCTGTTTAGGGAGGTTTGCGTTTATGATCTTGCCCAGTTTGTTACTAGATTTCTTGTAAGAATCGATGAAGCCTCGGATCTTTTCAATTTCCTCTGTAACAACAAGAAAGTGATGGCACAAACCACCACTATCGCGAAAGCATTTGCAGCTCTTGTCACATGATATCTTTTCATTCTTGGTCTCCACCGTGTAGCTGCTAGCAAACTCAGTCACGCAAAAGTTGTCATTTTCTAACTCTATGACTTTGTAATGAGATAATATGATCTCCGCTCTCCTCCATATTTCTTTTAGCTCATAAGAGGGAAAGTGCACTGTGAGCTGGGATTCGGCAAGGCCTATTGACAGCTTTCTCGTGATTGCTTCATCCGTTCTTTTGCTGGGAAGGGTACAACCCAAGACCTTTTTAATTCTTGCGTCGCGTTGCTGAGGTGTCATTTGTGACCACTGTAATGGATTCACCTGAAGGTGACTATAACTTTCAGACAGACGATATTCCCCCATCTGATAGATAGCCTTGACCAGTTCGTCGAGATGAGCTTGCACTACACGACTCTCAATTAGTTCGTGTATAGTCACCTGGACTGTTTTCTGTCTGGATATCTCCTCTTTAATACCGTTGTTGCAAGCTTCTGTTCTCTGGTTTTGCCACTTGTTTGGTGGGTTTCCAAGGCCAGCGGCGACACGAACAGGTCTCAACATACATTTCTTCATACTTTCAGATAACGGACGAAGACGTCCTTCACTCGAGTGAAGCCATTCAACGAATTGTTTTGGCCACTGTCGCTCGGCAACCTTTAATTCCTTCTCAAAATCCTCTTCTGTTGGGGAATCTACCAGACCCATAATCCGCTTTCCATTGTGCTCGGCGCCTAAGAGCTCACGTATTATTTCTTTTTGTTTTGATCGTGGTACTTTCAATGCTGTTAATTTCAGTGAAATGTTTGTTTTAACATGGTCAAAACAACGAAGGTGGATATTGGTGTCACCGGCTGGCATTCCATGTATTGGAAACACCTTCTCAAAGCCTGTTCCCAAAGGGGTTTCTCCATCAGTTCCGTATGTAAGGGTGTGAATTCCCTTCCTTTTTAGATTTGCAGCGAGGTACTCGTAATCTTCCACTTCCCTGCTAGCACTTGTCATTATTCCTGCCAGAGTAGTTGGATGTTTATCTCGTGCATCTCGGTGAACAAACATTGGATTGGGGAAAGTCAGTGTTGTCAGATAGAAAGGCCCACAGTTGTATGTCATATCGATACGGCATTGAGATTTATGATTGTTTCCAGAGCAAAATGTTTTTAACCATCAATATGCAAATCTTTTGCTGCAAAGGTGTTGGGTGCAGTGTCTTTCCCGTGGCGTAGACCAAATGAGACATCTTTTATAAACTCAATGGTTTGGAGTTTAGCAATTAACTTTGTGAAATCAGCTGCCTTTGTGGCCCTGTGCTCCTTGAACAAATACGATTTGGAATTTTACTGGCCTGGTTGTAGACTTGCTTCCTGTTACGGGGAATGTCGGCGACTGATTCAATATTGCAACACCTTCTGCTTCGTCTTGTACTTTTTTGATCACGAGTTTTGCTGATTTCTCTTTGGCGTAATCTTTTATCTTCCAAATCACGCTTGGCTTTGTTCGTAAATAGACTTCTTTGTGATGTTTAGCATTTCCGTGCATCTTTCTACAAAACTGTTTCTTAGCTTTCTCTATGACCTTGTACTGTATAACGGCATATCTCCCAAGCTCACCTTTGGGATGGTCGAGAACCTTGGTTATGATCCGACAAAATTCGTCAGAAGAAGTATGCCAGCTATAATGACGCTTGACTGCAAAGACATGATTTCCCTTTGGTTTTTTTCCCTTTTTACATCTTTCAAAACGTTTGATAAAAGATTGACTTGAGATTTCTGCACTGACGAACTCGGTAGGGCAAGAGTGACGTGCACATACTCCGTTACCATCGGTGGTAAGATCTCCTTCATCAACAGTTTTGAGGTCGACGACAAAGATGGCTGACTGATTCACTCCTTGTGGCACAGCACGGCATACTGTCCTCGCGTCTATATTTCCTGCGATACAGATGTCAAGAACTTCTTTGGTAGAAAGACCCTTCTGAGGAACCTTAAACACAGGATGTCCGTTGATTTTTAGTTCTAGAACAACAAAGAAAAGAAAATGTTAACATTATCATTAGTCAGCAGTGACCTTTACGTAGAAAATATCACACTAAACGAAATTACTCAATTATTCGCACCACGTCCTTATCTCTGTCTTTCGGGGGTGATAGAATTTTAGATTAAGTTGCACAAATATTCGTGGATAGAGAAGATAGACAAATAGAGACAGGAAAGTTTCGTTGGATCGCGCTATCTGCACTACAACCGTGCTCTGCTTGGTTAATGGACAATGCAACGGACGGTCATTCCAAACGCTATGTGTTAGAAATATTTAATATGAATAAGAAAAATGTTATTGCTCGATTTTTTTTCCTTAATACCGCCACCAGTTTGGTGAATAATTAACTATGTCACGTTATTGATTAACACGATCACATTTATACTTTAAAATGTTAGGGGCGATGAGTTCTTAACCCATTCGCCCCTGAACCGCCCGTAACCGCCCGTGCGGATCCACGTCCTTTCTACCCTTTGTGACGTCATCAGTTTTAACGGTTAAGGACAACTTTGTCCGCTAACTTGTGCAGAGTGAAGAGATCTTTCAAACCATACCAGAATGAGCACAATTCAGTCAAGGACACCGGAGAAAGAGGCAAAAAACCATGTAACATTGACCTGAAAATCTCCATGAAAATCTTGTTCCATTACCCACCTACCTTTCCTTTCACCTAATCCTAAGATCCTAAAAGCTTTCCTAAAAACTATTCCCACCAAAATGAAGCCTACTAAATGCCCAGCAAGAGAAAAAAAAAGGAGGCAAGAAAAGCGAAAAAAGAGGGGAGGAGAGAAAGCGAAAAGTAAAAGTCAAGACTGCTGTGTCACTTTTAAACCCAAAAACGAAATGTCGAAAAAAATGTCGAAATTTTGCTTTCTGCGCATGCCCGAACTTCGCAAGCTGATATTTTGCATCTGGATCAGAAGGCCATCAAGTGTACGACCTGTAAACCGGTTTGTGGTAAGTTTTAGCTCTTTATAGCACGACAGTGACCAGAAAACCACTCGACTAGCTTTAAAACGCGTTTTTTGGCAAAATCTCCAAGAGCGAATGGGTTAATGTGTGCCCAATTTAGATTCAGCACCATCATCTATGCTGAGTTAAAGCCAATAAATCTTTTTTCCACAGGTAAACCCCTTAGTCCTAGGCCTTAAACTATTTGAGATGATTTCACTTGTTATTCTTTTTGTAGTCTGTTTATTAGTTTTATTTATCTCAGCTCGGTTTTATTGTCTTACCTTCACGAACTTTTGCGGAGCCCTTTCCACCAATGGAATCATTTTTTGAATCATTGCAGTCAACGGTAGGCACAGGTGATTAGTCCTTTTCGTGTTCTTTCATCTCTTCTACGCTGCTTGAAGAGGACAAGTGCGGCTGTCGTCTTTTTCTGGCCGGCTGTGACTCTCTCACATCATCACTTGCTCTGTTCGAGCAAAATATAAGAAATGCAGTCAGGTAGCTTGTAATGAATAACTTCGAATTCTATGCTTTCTTTCATTTGTCCTGTATGAGTAAACCCGGATATCGTTTATTAAATAAGCTGTTTCGCTTTGATGTTTATATATCCTTTACGACCTTATGAAACTAAAAGAATGAGTGATCCTTCAGTTCTTTAATAAAATTGCCCCTTTTTTAATTTGGTCGAAGGGCGTCAGTACATCGTATTGCAAGTGAGGGGAGCCTCCCATGCACAATATGAGCACAGTTACTGACAAGGTACATATGTCAATAAAGTAATGCAAAATAAATACTATAGGTGTGTAATCTCAGGTAATGGGAGTTTCTCCTTAAACGGAACTTGGAGAATTTATTTGACTGAAAATTTGAAATGTCAAACACTTACGACGACCGTTTAGATGATCGTGAAGAGACTTAAGCCTCATTGTTCCCATTTGATGGTTCGTCAGGGACAGACTGGCACATGAATTCAGGACCTTAGAGAAAACAGGGAAGTGACAATGTTAAACCATCTAAATTTTTGTAAACACGCTTCCGCGTCCTTTATTGTGGTGTATTTATGGTCGCAGGCCGTCATCTGGCAGTCATGAGTCCAAGAACATCGTTACAGGAATGCTTTCTTTTTGTTTTCCAGAATCATTATGCCTTAAAGCGCTACTGCTCTGATTTCAGTAAAAAAAGTGTAAAAGTTGATGTGAAAGGCAAAGATTTATTTCCTTTTTATGTGATTCTGCTATATGTTCCCCATGACGGTGTGAACAATCCTTTACGCAAAGTTTTTCTCGGTTTGACTTGTTTTTCTTTTGGTAGTCTGTTAATAACTTTTATTACCTCAGCTCGGTTTTATTGTCTTACCTTCACGAACTTTTGCAGAGCCGTTTCCACCAATGGAATCATTTTTTGAATCATTACAGTCAACGCTAGGCACAGGTGAGTAGTCATTCTCGTGTTTTTTCATCTCTTCTACGCTGCTTGAAGAGGACAAGTGCGGCTGTCGTCTTTTTCTCGCCGGCTGTGACTCTCTCACATCATCACTTGCTCTGTTCGAGCAAAATATAAGAAATGCAGTCAGGTAGCTTGTAATCAATAACTTCGAATTCTTTGCTTTATTTCATTTGTCTTGTGTGAATAAGCCCGGATATCGAATATGTAAGCTGTTTCGCTTTAATGTTTGTATGTCGTTCATTACCGTATGAGACTTAAAAAATAAGTGATCCTTAAGTACCCTAATAAAATTGCCCCTTTTAAATTTGATCGAGGGCTTCAGTACATCCTGTTGAAAGTGGACAGACTGCATTAGATTAAATGTTATACTAGCTGTATAGCATTTTGAGAGGAGCCTATCGCAATGTGAGCACAGTTACTGACAAGGCATATGTGAACCCCGGGGCTGGGATGTGAACCAAATAATCCAAAGTAAATAGGTGTGTAATCTCAGGTGATGGGAGTTTCTCCTCAAACGGAAGTTGGAAGATTGATATGACTGAGAATTTGAAATGTCAAACACTAACGACGACCGTTTAGATGATCGTGAAGAGACTTCAGCCTCATTGTTCCCATTTGATGGTTCGTCAGGGACAGACTGGCACATGAATTCAGGACCTTAAAGAAAACAGTTAAGTGACAATGTTAAACCATATAAAACTGTGAACACGCGTCAGCGTTTGGCATGGGTTGACTGTATATTTCAAGTATATTGGGGAAGATATATAATCCTACATTGTGTTGTCTGTATGGCCGCAGGCCGTCATTCAGTTTTGAGTACAAAGACGTTGTCTTGGGAGTGCTTTCGTTTTTACGAATTATTCTGCCGTGTTTCTTCACCGAATTTCAGAATTGATGTAATCATTATGTTTAAGACTGCATGACCTAACTGCTCAGAGACAACAAGAACTTGAATATTCGATGATGGTAAATTTACCTGTAAAAGGGTAGGTTAGGGTTGGAATTAGGGTTGGTGTAGGTAAGTCCCCCAGTACCGTGGCTACTGAAACAATAAGCGATAAATGATGCCCCATCTTATGATTACTGTATCCATTTTTCAGCTTTGAATTTGTAGCAGGCTACTGCTACTGTTTTTTGGCTTCAGATAGAACTTACCATTTCCTTCCCCTGCTTCAGGCTCGTCGGTAATCGTAGGTTCATTCAATTCTCTCTCGCTGAAATTAAAACATTACCAGAAATCGGCGACATTTTGCGCCCGCGAAGTATTTGGCATGCGGTTTCAAATTATCAAGATGGCGGCATAAAGAAAGCAGTACGTAGAAAAAACAAGGACTGAAATGACACACTATTAAAGGATCTGAATCAATTTAATTTCTTTTTTGAGGTAGTCAATACAAGGGAGAATGAAAAAGGGGAAACTAGAGTCCGGGCTCCTGTTCAAATGACGATTTTAGAGAGAAGAAACAACTTCGTTTCATGCGTGACTTGGCAGAGTAAAAATAATTTTCAAAAATCAGGGCCCACAGTATACTTAGCCAGCGATATTCTGTATAATAATAGCGGAGCTCTGGCGCGCGAAGCGCGCCTGCGGAGCACCATGGGTAAGTAAATCTACCCATCTCAGAAAATTTGGTAATCACGTGACCGTACACCGCCCGCCCGCCCGCCCGTCC